TGCTGAATGGAACTTTATGAAGAGGTTAATTAGAAAATTGTATTGAATATATTCACTCAACCTGCACAGATGTGGCCTGGATTGATAACTGTGCACTGAGCTGACTAAGTTGAAAACAGCCTAAACTTAACTTTCTCCCTTCAGTAAACAGGTCTAATAGGTCACTATAAAGTGACACGCTGAGCTTAGAACATCTAAGATAATTATTTCTTTGTGGGTTTAGATTGCTCCTTATCAGACATCCTGAACCTTATTTCAGGAGGGGCTTGGGCATACTGCTTATTTCCTTCTAAAAATAGAAAAAGTAATTCCTCTGTAAATTTGCTCGCTCCTGATAAGGAAAAGGGGAGGTGATGGCTGCTTAATTGGTCACTTTCAAACTGCATTGATAGTGATAAAAGAATTAATTTACTGCTACTCAAAAATCCTCACCTTATAGCTTCTTTCAATGTCTTATTTAAGTTACAAATCTTATCTAGATTTAAAAAAGAAATTATGCACTGAAGTCCAATGTTAATCAAATGTAACTAAAACAAAACTGAATTTCTCAAACTAACATGTCACATGCAGAAGCTTCATTTATGTGATGCACTGGAACTCAAATTGTTCCCATAATAGACACTGGAAAGTCATTCAGACTGACCCTATTCTTCAGATATGAGTTTAATTACCCAAGAATCTGAAGTGTGAGAGCCCCTCACTTATCAAATTAACAGCTAAGGAAAGGACAATAAAGTAATTAACAATCATTTCAGGAGAATGAGTCATGCCAAAGGTAAGTTTATCTGTTAAAGAGGTGGAAGCAGGCAAAGAACGCCTCATTAACAGAGTAAAGCATCATGTAAATGTTGAATTTATGTTAGTAGTCCGAGTCACATAGATATGGGCGAGGATAATCAGCGGGTGAAATGTAGATGACTGAAGCTCCAAGTCCATAAAAAGGTTATGCTCATTTGAGTCATCTTTTTTTTTTTTTAGCGTGCACTTACAGGAATTAAGCTACAGGAGCAGTAGTGAGTGACTTGGCTCTCAGGCAACATCACGGCTGCCATTTCCACCTTCAGAGGATCCATAAAAACTGCCTTTTAGTTAATTGTTTTCTAAAGAGACCCTAGAATTAAACACAAGATAATACACTAAAAGACAATGTCATTTGTAGTAGAGATGCAAGAACAACATTATTTATCGATAAATAATAGGTATTTTTCAGCTAAATCTGTTCTTCATGCTGCCAGTAATATGTGAAGCATGATAAGCAATTTTATGATACTTGTTATTTTCTAAAACAACAACTGATTTTGCTGGCTAAGTCACGGCACATTTTTATTTATACGACTGCTCTTGGCAAGCTTCCCCGGCACCTTTGTACATTTATATCAGCTAGCGACTCCAAATGTTAGGCCAGAGATGGGAAAACAGGCCTCCTCTGTCTCTGCTCTGAATCCTGATCATAATGCAGAGGTAAGATTGAACAAATTAGTATCATTAGCCAATTGTAAAGCCAGGGTAAACTCCTTGATGTCTGTTTCATTTGATACATGTCTCTGCAATTGGTTGTTGTTGTTGTGGTGACTCAATTTTTATGTGACTGCAATATTATAATGATGTTTTTTATATTCGACTGACTCTGACTCCTGATGCTACCATTTTAGCCAGGTTTCCCTTGTAAAGGAGGTTTGAAATCTCAGTGGAATTCTTGGTTGAAAAAAGGTTAAATTAAAAAACAAAGAATAAACAACTTCTGAAACCAAACTCTATGCCCATGGATATGAATTACCCAAGTAAAAATGAACTTAATCTGAGGTTTACAAATGAATCCAGTGCTGAGTATGAATGAGGCCTATGCTGAAAAAAATCTGAGTCTGAAAGAAGCTAAATCTGAGTAAACTTTAAACTGACCTTGCAGTTGCCTTACATTCAGCTGATGATAGAACATAAAAAGGCATTTTACACAAAAACTTGCACCTTTATGCAACCAAAAGGCCAATTAAGTCAAGTGAAGCTCCACTACTGCAGCTTATATAACTCAAAACTTGTTTCTGACTCATTTCTCAGCATCTTGACTGAGGAAAACAAAAGTCTGAAGTTGCTCAGGTACAGTGATTATATGTTAAATTGTAAAGCAAAAGGACCTAATATACGGCACTTCTCGATGCCTCCTGAATGCACTTTCACACTATATGCCTGTTTACCCATTTGTGCTCACAAACAGTGTTTTGCTCAGGGACTGGAGAAACTGGGAACCACCAACCATCTGGTTAACAGACAGCCTGCTCTACCTCCTGAGCCACAGCTGCCCCGAGGTGTCGTAAAGTTGGGCTCTTGCCTCCATATTTACAGTTTTAACAGTTCTCATTTTAATCAAAAGTATGCAGTGTATGTATACTAAGCTTGAATCCAATACAGCAAAATCGCTACACAAAAGCAAAGCTGTAACACAAGGCACATAAATTATGTTTCCATTTGTCCAACTCTGTCATGCTTAAATGTAAACTGTTGTTACAATCCCAGTCAATGCCCTAACTTAATGTAAACAGTTACACTCACATTCAAACCAACAAGCGTGCGTGTAGACATACAGATTCAGTTAAACACATGCTTAGTGTATACAACTTGTCTGATGTTTTATTCATGGTAGCAGAGGTATAGCAGCACATGAGCTATCATATTTCTCCGAAAGTCTCCTGTGCGCGTCTGGCTTGGCCGAGATAACAGGAAACCTGCCTGGAGAGGAGACACAACAATGCAGGATGCAATACAAACTGTATCATAACTCTTAGAAGCAGAAATGTCCAGGAGCACAAACTGTGGCAGTGTGGGAGAAACACAAGGGGCAGGAGGACATGCTCATATGTTGTGATGCAGCAATTTGAAGATTGGAAGGCATGATTGGAAATGTCCATTTAAAACTATTCAAACTGAATAGAAATTAGGGTTTGTGGAAATGCTACCAACAGGTTACACTGCTAAAAGCATACTGTAAAAGTCTGTTTGATTGATTTTAGCACGTTTGTTCATTCTGCAGTGATAAACAGGAAGAAAGATTAAAGTCATTCTTTCAACATACTGTAGTGACTTAGTGTAAGATGTGAACATATTTATCAGCTTTTTACATTTGTAGAGTTGTTTTTTGAAGAAAAATTCCATCACAGGCTAAATGTGAGAATTGAAAATGGATTGAACTTTACCATCCCTCTTCTGACAATTGAATAACAAACTTTTTGGTAAATTCACACCAATGCTCTGAGCTGAACATGTTTAATGACAGCTATGCGTCTTACTGACTGGACTGCTGTCTCGAAAACTCTGGCTCTTTATCTACATCGACTTTATGAACTGCATAGATTAAAGCAGGAACAATGGAATCCATATCCATGATGATAAAATGCTTTGTCTTAATTGCCCTAATCAGTTTTCCTTATTAAAATGTAAGCTTTCCACTGCATCTAATATTTATTATTCCCTTTCCCCATATTACATTGTAGTGATTCTAGTCTACCATGGCAGCCCCTTTAATGACATTGCAACTTAACAGTCTATGCTCAAATTTAATGGCCCAAACTCATATATTTTATAGGCCTACAATATTATACTGACAAAACCTGTGTTCTGTTAAACTGAGTGCATATGGACCAAAATAAAACTAATTTATGGGTTCACAAACTCTTCTTACAGCAGAAAACCAGTACTAAACACTTTAGGAACACAGGGTCACAGAGAAATGATTTCCATTAGTCCAGGAATAGTCTAGAATAAGTCAAATGGGGATTGTGAATTTCAGGGCTGTTCTTTTGGCAACAGACTCATCCTCTTAAACACTGAATATAGAAAAGTTTAATTGACCGATATTACAATTGCTCAAAACCAACTCACAGAATATACACACAGTAGTATTGTAGCCAGCAAAATACATGAAAATAACTCCAGTAACTGGTTGTGACTCATGCCCTTTTATGTCTATGCATCTGTTTACACCTTCACATGATCCTCAGCATACCATTAATCACAGGATAAATCTGCCTGCTGAAGAATCAAGTCAGTCTCTAAGTCCCTTTCTGTCCTGTCAATAGCTCGACCCATTTCCTGCAATATCTGATTTGGCAAATCCCAAAAGTTTTTACAGAATTAATCCAGGTCTGCAAAAGCCAATTTGAGTTTGTCCAACACTAAGCAGGGCACTTAGGCGCAGTGAGATACTTTGCCCATGACATACAGTACTGTGGTGCAAAGTTGTCCTAATTAGTTTGGTAATGAAACGGCTGCTGCGGCAAATGAAATTATTTCTGCTCCTCCACGTCGATATATTGATTGAGCTTTGATACTTTATCGTTAAAGTCGTCACAGTGCATCCTTCCGACGGACCTGAATGTACAGTAGCTACTTACATTTAATCCTCAGTTGTGACGGCTTGGAGACTGTTGGATTCAAAACAGAAAAAACGCTGTGATGAAACGACCTGCGTGTGATTTCCCATCCTTGTTCCTGAATTGTTGATCATTATGAAGCATTATGAGCAGATCGATCACATCACGTAACCTTCAGATAACATTGATAAACAATGCCTTCTCTAATGAGCAATTTGGCCAGCCTTACAAAATAACACGTCAGCCACAGGTGCATATTTCTGTCACCTTATTCTTTATTGTGAACATAAAAACGTGTCATTTATCCACTCATATATACCTGCAAAAGTGAAAATGTCTGTTCATCCTCGTTGATACAGAAAACAAAAACGCATTGAACTCCCCCAAGAATCGAAACTCCCCTCGTCCACCCAGCATCATCTAGTCAAAAAATAACATCCAAAAATACTTGACACTGCCACCAGCAAAAGTACAATGAAATTGAAAAAAGAGAGAAACACAAAAACAACAAACCTGTGAGCTCAGCTGCAAGAAAAGTATCACGTTAAAACGTCATCGGGCTTTAAAAAGGACTCCTTCTTATAAAGAAAAGAGGAACAATGTAAAAGCACGGGTTGGATCGGTGAGATTCACCAAGACATCAAAATCACAAAACTCGAAGGCAACAAACAACACTGCAAAATGCAAACCAAAGCATAGCAACAGCAAAAGTCGACAGAAACAACAAAAAAGAAAAAAGAAAAATGTTTCAAAACCACCAATAAATGTTTGAAAAATCTCAATACTGACAAAACCTGCTTGGTTTCGACCCTCGAAACAAAACTGCAAGCAAGTAAAAGCTTTCTCAAGACCGATAACGCACCCGTTTACCTCTTGGCACTCTCGATCAGAATAACTGCATGCTAAAAACTTGAAGCCTGAATGTGAAAAACGCTCAAAACAACCATGTCAATGCTCAATTCAAACACCAGCAAAAGGAGGAAAAATAAAAAGGGAGCAATTAAAAAGACAAAAATGGTTACAAAAAAAGCCACTGGAAATGTACTCACCGAGCGGGAGTAAAATGCTGCAATAAAAATGTGATATGGCTCAAAATACAGTATGGCGGTGCAAAGCCGGAATGCTGTGCCTTTTCTCTAGATCTCTGCCTCCAGTTCTGTCATGTGACTGATTCAGCCTCGACTTCCAGCAATGAGAGACCAGTGTTGAACAGCTGATGCTGAATGCTCTCCTAACGGCTTGGCTCTCTCCAAAAGTAAAAAAGAGGTAGTCCTTTATCATCCCACAGTTATGACTGGACAGGTTGTATGTTTTTCTTTGGCTTGTTTTTTTTTTTTTTCTGTTTTAAAGATGCAGAGCTCACTCGCTGTCAGCGGGATGCAGGCGTGCTTTCATTTCGTTCAGAGTTGATTCCATACTTAGGGGGAATCAAAAAGACAGGAGGGTGGGCTATGTCAGTGGGACTGGTCGACGGATGCACCAGCATACTGTAGCTGTATCAGTCCTAATAGCAGGCAGCGCTGTCCACGGTTCTGAAACCGAGGACGTGTACAGTAGCGCATTCAGGACAAACAGCGCTGTCCATGGTGCCCAAGACAAGCAAGCTGCATTATGAATATGGGCATAATGTCCAGGCTGGAAAAGCAAACCACCCTAATAATATACTAACTGTATCAGGCAGCCCATTGCATGGTGCTGGAGTCCGGAGAGCTCAGTGATATTTAGAAAAAAACAATGAGATGAAAAGCTATGGCCCAGTCAGTATGCATTCAAAAAATGTGGTTGGACGCTATCTTCCACTTTATGCAGTGCACAAGAATAATGTAGAGGGTGTACTCACCTGGATTTTATTGATTTAATTTTTAAGTCTGGGAGGTGTTAAACGACATGTCAACAAATACTGTATCACTTCCTATTAGTACAAAAGGTGAGCACATCCAGAACAAACAAACAACAGTATCATATTCTCAACACCACCCAGCCTTGTCTATGGTGCTGAATCACAATTAACACAGAGCACACTGACAACAAAACATATCACCACCAGTTTATGGTTCTGAAACTGTAGGAGTAAATAATAAAGAAAAACAAATGACACTGTCACGGGAGTAATGTCACACAACCTTGTCTGTTGTGCTGAAACAGAAGCACAGTAAACAACATCATTATTGGCTACACAACAGTTTACATTTTCACTACTGTCTAGTAAGGAGTCCTACAGTACAGCATGTAAACGACTACATTTGGTGTCAGATGGCAAAATAAAATAAAAAAGCTGAGTCACTAACCAGACCATTTCTTTCACATTACAGTTGTGCAAATTTAGCTTTTTTTCTGCCTGCACAGTACATAAGTAGTAGATGGAGCTTCATTGCTGGCCATGGTGAGTACACTACATTTTGCATTGTTGACTAGATTTAGGATTCTATATAGGCAATGACAATTCTCA